ATTGCAAAAATCATATGATCCACCCCAAAAGAAGCCGAAAGAACATAATAAAGCCAAGCTCAATACCCCTGCAAGTAGCACAAGCCAGCTAAGCCACGTCGAGATACAAATTGACCAGTTGGTTCGGAGGCTAACAAACAGCCAGCCCATAGTTGATCCCGCACTGCACCGCAGCTAACCTAAGCTTGGCGGTCACTGCCCGCGGCACCCCAGGTAACGTCACTGATTTACACCCATCCACCCACTTTACTTTCTAACATTACAACCACAATATCAGACCATACGCCACTTTCCTCTACTCCTCACTCACATAATCCCCGCATCCTCTACTATTGTCAACAACAAGAATCTCTCAGCCGCTCGATTCCCAACCTACCCACCGCTCTCTCGCGACATACCACCCACTAACCAACTACCCAAGCGTAAGCATGGCGCCCATCCGCCGCTACCTCCGGATCAGCAAATACACAGTCCTCGAATGCCGGATCTACCTCGAGAACCCGTCCGATATACGGTGGCTCCTGAACGCGCGTGACGCCGTGCTTCCACGCGTATTCGCAGCGATCCGGCCGCTCGTGCTGCCCAAACTACGCGAGGAGAATGAGCGCTTATTTGCGAAGAAGAAGGGGAAGCCGGTGAAAGATGTTATCTCTGAAGGTAAGCTATTATCTAATATGATTCATGTTTATTCTTCGGATATTGTGGGGCTTGGTTCGCTTTAGAAGGGAGAGAATGGCTGATCATGCAATTCGTGCAGAGGAATTCGATGTTGCGTTGTTTTTGCGCGAGTCGAGGACGCGCCATTCGCTTCTTACAAGGCATAAGGAGTTTGATGAGGATGAGGGGGGCTACGCTGTGGGTAGGGGGACAGGGTCTGGTCCTGGTGGGGCTGGGGCTGGGATATTGATTGAGAGTGATGATGAAGGAGAGGGTTTGGAGATGCGGGATATTCCACAGGCGACTAGTGATGATGATGGCGCGGGGGCGAAACGTCAGCGGGATGATGCTGATGGGCAGTCTGATGACTCGCCGGAGCGGCAGCGTACATCGAAGCGGAGGAAGGATGATGGTACGCTATCGCGAGATGCAGATGATGGCGATGACAAGAAGATGCGCTTCAGGACCAACTACGAGGGATTCAATATCTACGGCTGGGTGCTGTGTCTGCTTGTCACGCGGAAAGGTGACAAGACGGGAACAAGAGCTGCCACGGCAGAACCTGGTCGTCAGGTCCTCATGGAGGAATGGATATCAACCCAGGCGCAAGGCGATCTGCCCGAAGAATAATTTCGAAGCTGCCTGCAATACGTTGCAGTATTGCAAGACTTGCACACGCCGCGTGGAACGGGGATGATGCTTCGTCATAAGATGCAACCATATGTAGCGCAACCATGATCGTTTGATTCCTGCAGAACGCATGGTGTGGTCCAACGGTCGCATATTATGAGTTGCAGAATGCTCGTGCGCGTGATGCAGATTGAATGTCATCCAGGTGAAAAAGGATCGAACGATCGTCCTGCGGACGTGTTCGCAAATTGCTGTGCCACCTGGTGCGATAGCGGCCTGTCTGGATAACATCAGCTGGAGTCGAGACCAGTCCGGCCGAAAATAATCTTTAGGTTCGAGTTTCCAGTGAGGCGACGAAACAGTGGTGTGCGACGGCCAGACTCGGATGCTGGCCGTTATCTGAACTAGGTTCTGTGTAACACCGGGTCCCAAGGAACCTGACTGTCTCGCCCCTTTCGCGCCGAAGACCACGTCTACAGTGCGCGGCCGCGTCGCAACTGGCCTAGACTGTCATAACTCAGTCGGTCCCTGGGAGCCTCTTGCGGGGCACTCGCCGTTGGAACAGGAACACCATGCCGCATGGATGTGCACTGCAGCACATACATATGTGAGGGTCATTTAGACTTTCGGCTTGCTGCATAAGCCATGATCCTGGCGCATAACATACTGATGTACAGGGGTTGTTTCACGTTGACTTCCAGATTGACAGCTTGCGACTCCGTGATATATCTGAAAACAGGGGACAGAATGGCGTTTTAGATTGAGCAGACGCGTCCCAAAAGGCTTCTGCTTCATTATCTTGCCAAGAGTCAAAGTACCGAGATATTGCCGTGTCGTTTATATTTACCCCAACACTAGAGTAAACGAGGACCGGGATTTGGTTCACCGTTTTCTTTCAGAAGCGCCCTGTCCGCCCTTTTGCGGAGATGCCTTCCGAAGCATAGAACAATGGCCCAGTAATTGGTGTGCAAACATTAATAATCTCGCGTGGCTAAGCAAAACCCTGCACTGGATCCAATGGAGAGTAGCCGAATCTTGACGTCAGTCGAGGAAGGAAAGGGCAGGTCCAAACAAAAATTTTCTCCGACTAAGGTAGTGGGCGGAGTTCTCCGTACTGTGGAGTAGGATTGACCGACATTGATAAAATTGGGATCCATGTTCCACGGTAAGGAGGACTTTTCCATGCAAAAGTTGTAGAAAAGACCCTCTCGATAGATACAGCCCTTTCTAGCTGCTTGAGAGTTGCCTAAAGAGGCAGGACACCGCGAGGAAGAATACCGAAAGAATTGTGACTGAGGTTGAACCTATGTTGCCTGTGTTGTTGCCTTGCTTGAGGTATTCGAGAAAACCGTAGCCAGCCGCCCGTGAGATCCGATCCCGCTGCGGGGTTCAACAGGGAGTAGTCGAACCATAAGGGTGCTATTGAAAATCGTGATCAACATGGGTCCTAAGACACGGTATCCTAAGTACTGTATAGAAATCCACGCCACTACCCAGGACGGCAGTAATTGCAAGTGCCCATCCGGAAGGAGATAAGGTGATGCCACACAGCCAACCGATAACCAATGTCTGTGTGCCGAAAGAGGCTGGGATAGAATTCGATGGGCTGTGGTTTCCCGCAACAGAGTTGGTAGGAGCAAGTGGACCAGCCGTTGTAGTGAAACCGGCGGCGTCCAAGGCGGTGCTACGACCGGCTGCTGACTAGAACAAAGTAGCAAGTTCGTATCATAATTAGTGGCCTTTAGTCCGAAATTAGCGACAGAGCGGGAGCGATTGTTGAGAGTTTGAACGCAAGCTGTGGGACAGTGGACGAGCACTGTGCGACGGAGGAGCGGTGAACCATGGATTGCGACGGTTTCTGGAAGAGTCAGTACCATTCCACAGAGCGGAGAATTCCCTGATGTTGATCTTCACTAGATATGTACGCCGCACGGAGTCCTGCTGCGAAATTCCGATCTTGCCTACATCGGCGCGGGCAAACTCCTGCAGTCGGACTATTGAATATTGCAGACTGGAGGCGTCACGGTGATTGTGATAGTCGAGGATGCAGTAAGATGCATAGTACCTGCATTAACGCATTGCTGCGTTACATCCACTCACCCGCAGGGACCAAAAACTGAGGCGGGAAACTGCCCGGGATGTACGACAACATAGGCCGAACGAGAGAAAAGCGCGTAAGTATGACAAAGGCTCAGTGAGTGTGGTGTATCATGTGTACCCATTCCCCACTTTTTGCACTACTATAGCAATCTGTCCAGGACTGCTGTAGGAGTTTGCCGAGGAAGAGTTTGACGAAATTGGCGTGAATCACCCTGCCTCCGCACTGAGACCAGCCATCAATGGCTGCGATCCAGTTTTTACCACACCAACGGCGCGGAATGAACACCCCCAACAGTGGGGATCTCATTTCGTTCTCTTGGAACTGGGATCCACTCTGTCAACATCCTTCTCTTCTTGCCATGTGTTTTTTTTTTTGGCCCTCTCTGCCCCGGCGTCCCAAATGGATAAGAGCCATGTGACCTGGCAGAATCAGGAAGTGGCAAAGCTGGTGATTATGACTGATCCGGATTGCTCAGGAAACCTGCTGGGAGATAATCGATACCTAATAGAAAAAGGGAAAATGAACCATATATCCACCGGAAGCGCGCGGGATCTCTTGCGTCAGGCGGCCATCACCACCGACCGGGTAAAATTAGTAGAATACAGTAGAACGCCGTAGCTCACGATGCTACTGCTGGGACTGGCGAAAACCTGCCTTGTCCTTCTCAAGTCTCAGTCGGTGGTCATGCATACAGCGGCGCTAACAGCTGCACACTACGCCAAAGAAGTAAGTCGTTGAGGACGACTTGATGCAGGCCGGGGTTGTTAGTATCCTGTTAGGCGCCGGCCTATCTCTCTAGCGGCCGTGGGTAACGAAAATTGTCGGCGGAGAAGCCAGCGACCGGATCAAATCATCGACGCGAGAACGCAACCCGCATCTCGATGGATCGACCGATGAGTCGATGCAGCAATCGATTGACGTGCAGGATCATCTTTCTCCCTTCCTGTTACCGTATACTTTGCACCCCGGGCCAGGTCCCATCTGCAGATGATCTGGCGTGACGCCGCGCATCCTCATTAGATATTTGCTCATGAAGCGGGTGCTGCTAGTCCGGTTGCACGCCAGGACTTCATGGGGGTGAGATTGGTGGATGGCTACTGGTTCATTTAATGAACTCATTCAACATTTAATCAAGTCAAACCGGATTGGACCTGATGAGCGTTGCATTGCATAAGAGAGTACACCAAAGTCAGCTGGTGTGGGAGATTAGTTTCGATTAGTTCTCTCAAGCTGCAGGGACGGACGGGAAGATGGCGAGCCAGTCAATGGCCATTAATTGGTATGGTACGTGTACGGAGTATAGGATGTGTAATTATGAGATTATGTGAAGTCTAATAGTTATGAATCAGGGACGATAGGAGGGCAGCCTTACAGCAACAATAGCAGACCACAACAGCCAAGACTAGGCAAGGGCCATCAGCCACAATGAATGGAATGGATGGAACGGATGGGTGTCAGCCGAGATGCCCGTCAAATGGAAGAGCCCGGAATTACCAGATTCCAATCGCTTCCCGAGGCTCCCGTACCTTGGGAGAGGTAGGATGGATGACAGACAGCTCCTCTTGAACTCAAACTGTTCAGGGCAGCACCCAAAAGTCTGAGAGCTCGGACAATACGAACGCAGGTACTTTTCCTGACTTTTCCTGCAAGGAGAGACGGGGTTTTCGTTGGCGGACGTAAACCCCGACGATGCGATCCATTTGTGGGTGAATAGTAGTGCGATGGTGATCAGCCCCTGAAACATCGCTCCGGCGGCGGCCTGAGGACACGCCATCAAAGCTCCCTCTTCTCAGTCTTGTGTGTGTGTATCTTTAGGTTGCGGCTACCCCGTTGGCTGCGACAAAGTTGCCGCCCTGTACAGATGAAACGACCTGTCATTCTTCCGTTATGACCGGATCACCTCTCTCCTCCCTCCTTCACCCCTGAGCAAGGCTGTAAGGGAAGGAAAGGGAAGAATGTCTCTACCAATCCCAATCATGGACCATGGTTCCTCAGCTGTCTACTACTGGCTGTCTCACCACGCTCAGCTACTATCCATGCTCACAAAAAAGGCCCAACCCACGCCTGAGACGGGAAGGCTGAAGGATGCAGGCGTCAGTTGGGCTTGAGAACTACGGGATGAGTGGTGGCTTGGACTGGATGGATACAGTCAGAGGATAAGCCCGCAGGTCCCGACAATCTGGCTGGAGCTAGTAGGATCTTCCCTCTTTCGGGGGGGAAAGGAAGTACAGTTAGGAAGGTGTCTGTGTGGTGGTGGTAGTGAGGAATCAAATCACACGCATCCGAGTTTCAGACGGGCAGCGCAACAGCCGCGCATTTGACTTCGGATCATCCTGGAGGGTTCCTTATCGAACTTGCTGGACCTTGTCCCCTCTGGTGCTCTTCTCACGCTCTTAGTTCTCTTTCCCCCTCAAAGGATCTACGAACTGGCACGTGTTGGGATGGCTGGACTAGCCCCCAAAGCTCGTAAGCCTATCAAACGCAGCTGCACATACTCAGGGATGAGGTTGCCTGGACACCATCCTGGTCGGGATGCGGAGTAAGCGCATCCTCTAACGGTGGCATTGATCCCTTCGATTGAGTCATAGATAGCAAGGTTAACTCATTAACCATTACAAAGTAGGTTACTCATGCCTGCTGCTTCTTCGTCAGTGTCATCGTCCTCCCCCATGGTATTTTACGTGACCAAGCGAAATGGCACTAGTGTTTAGCTACAGTCGTAGTCACATGGGCGGCGTCTCGCTCAGAGGATTTTCTTTTCTTTGCTGAAAAGATGGGCTGTCTTGCCCAGAAAGCAAAAACGGGAAAGGTGAGAAAAGAAGCCGCCAGAACGGGGTGTGTAGAGACGACTCCGTAGAGAAAATGAAGAGAGAGAGAGAGAGAGAGAGAGGACGATAAACGCTGTGGTGGGTCAGGAATGCTTGCCTTGTCCAATTTCGTGTTCACTTGTTCTTTCCCAATTTCACATTGTGTCTTTCATTTGTTCTTCTTCTTCTTTCCTTTCTTTCGATCCTGTTTCTCCTTCACTATGGAGTACTAACTAAACTTTTTTTTTTTGGTTCCCATTTCTTCCCGCACATTTGTTCGGCTGTGACATTATCGCCCTTACAGACCAACCCTTTGTTTCTGATTGAGACGCCCACCTAGCACCACCATCAGTCCACTCCCCATCAAATAAGCTCCGATAATGCGCATGTTAATTAGACCTGCGGAACCCAAGGAAAAAAAGGGGGAGGCAAAAAGTCTCAGCGGTGAAGCCCAGTCCCCGGTCGGAGTGGGACAACAGGAGCTTCTAGAAAATTTCCCTGGGATTTCCCATTGGGGCCTCAGCAGCAGAGGCATCCATCGAGAATCCATCTGGCAGCCCACCATACCGCACTAGTGTAAGGACGCGGTCAGATTCTGACGTAGTTCGTTTCCTCCTGTCCGGCCGGTGGAGCTCAGCTGTTCCCGACAGGGGAAAGGGAAGGGGAAAAAATAAATATTATGATAATTTATGATTTAATTTTTATTTTTTTTCTTTTTCGTTCTGATTATTCTGTCCCCATTATTATTATTTTTGATTATTATTATTATTCTGCTTCTGGTTCAGCGCCAATCACCCCGGTTGGTCTTTTCTTCAAAAAATAAAAATAAAAATAAGGGCACAGAAAATTGAGGGAAGCTCTCAAGTATATATTAGACGCCCATCTGACCTCGTCTTCTTCCAATCCTCTTGGTTTCATTCAACTTCAATCCTCTCGGTTTCATTCGACTTCAATCCTCTCAAACAACTCGCGTGCTACACTACATCAACCACTATTACTATTACTACTTTCTACCACCACCACTACTACTACCATCACCACGCACATCACCCATTACCATCAACTACATCACCATGCCTTCCATCGGTGGCTCTACCTCTCAGTTCCCTCCTTGCCCTGGTCCCCCGCCAAAGGGCCCTCTTCCTCCGCTCCCCAAGTAAACGCAATGGGCAATTCACTTGATATGAACTTGACGACCGACAGACTCAACCGGTTCAACCACAACCCTTCCCACCAACTCCGCCAGGAACAGTGACAATGTGGACCGGTTCGAGTCTCTCATGACATGGGAGTTGCACCTTTCGGCATATGGTTATCACGATTTCGTTTTTGGGACATCACACTATGGCTCTGCTCCTTTCCACTTATATACCTTTTATTCGCATTCCTCAACACCTTCGATTCTCCATCTTTCGGAACTTTCTGACTACCACCACCACACGGAATCCTCTCCTGGGCCGGTGTCTAATTCTCCATACAATTCTCCGGGAACACGCGCAGGCGCTCTCTGCTCCCATTCTACAATGACGTTTTGACATTGCGACATCGAATCGTTGCACTGCATCAGCTCACGCGGCTGTTGAGTGATCGGCAGATCCTATCGCACTGCAGGGGGGCTGGATTCGACGAGCAAGAGGGACCATGATGCTGTGACTCGCTATTGGTTCCCCACTCTCGGGCCATTTATCTCCAACCAGCCTTGTCAGCAATCGGACCCTGCAACAAAGTGATGACGACAAGACTCGCGAGCATACGAGTTTCATGTGCAAGTTCGGGTAATGTTCATCGACCAACCCAATTGCAGCATGGATCGCACGATCCCCACCGATGTCAATGCGTTGTTCAGAAACCTTGGATCCCATTCGCACATGGGGTTCAACAATTACTTAATCGGTTTTATTTCCTTTTACCATTTTCTTTGTTATCATCACATTTGGGATTTGAGCTTTATCTGAAATCGACGGCATGTATAATAGACTTAATATACCCAGCGGCATTTCGCATTCTTGGCTGCGCTTTGACATTGCTAATGAAACTATCAAATTCTTTACCATTTACTTGCCTATCTTACAATCCTAAACGTATAGAACTGTAAGCATCTTATGATAACTGCATTGCAGCATTGCATGGTGCATTGCTTGAGTAACCTGTGTGACCGCGGGGAACCTCCCCCCCAAAGAGATCGACAGGAAGCGCACACACAGGGCAACGTTCAGCAGCGGAGTAACAACAGTCCAGCCCAGCAGGGATTCTGAATCAATAGCGCTGCGATCCCCCCTCCCCCTCTTGTAGTACGGAGAACCTCCATCCTCTAGCGCCAATCCCAGCCAGTCACTCTTCTGGCGCATGTACCGCACTGAATTGAGTAATCAGATAGCGGCATTTAGCAAGATTATGACTCGATCATACGGTGATCCAAGCGAGGAAAAGAAAAATAAGGACAATGGTAGACACCCGCCTCTCCCGCAGTTCCTTATCAGTTGTGCTGCAGTATTGCTTTTTCTTACTTGATGCAATAGTTTCTGCGAGGTACGCACCCTGGCCTGCGCGGCCCGGGTGGCGCACCTGATACGACGGGCTCTACCGCAGGACTACTACTAGGAACCGACTTACTATCTATGCTGGTAGTAGTATCTAACTGGATGGATTGTTTGTTGCAAAAGACCCGTCTCCGGACCCCTTCTCCCACCCAAGTCACGGAAACTAATCTCGTAACCGCCAAGCAAACCACATGCCACCTGCATTGCATATGTAGGAAGCCAAGCCATGCCATGGATGAATGGATGAAAGGATGCTGCGGATATCCTGCCGATAAACAAATGCTGATCAATGATAAGCTGATAATTTAAACCCTCCCTCCGTTGATTACGGTGTATGTATGTATGTATGTATGAGCTACTATCTACATACCTCATCCAGTTCAAGGAGCGGCCCACCTGTGTGTGTGTGTGTGTGTGTGTCTGCCTAGTACTAGGTGTCTAACCGTGCCTTGATTGCCCGCTTTTCGATATAACGGGTATACGTGGCGGGGGTGGGAAGAGGTACCTAAGCTCCATATTACTATTTCTGCCTTGTTTCTACTCTTGTCTTCCACGTTCTCTAAACCTTAGTTGATTTAGCACGAATGTCCGATCGCAGGTCAACTGACCTCGGATGTACCTGGCTTGGAGCCTTGTCTGTTTGGAATTTTTTGTTTTACTATTATTATTTTTCTATTTATTTTCCCACCCTTAACCCGTAAAGTAAGCAGGGACTGAGCGTTAGTTCATTAGGCCGTTGTCAAAGCCCGGAATTGAGCATGTCATGCCATGTGCTGAATTGGATGGCAGAGAAGTAGTAAAATTAAATCTTACTTTCTTGTTGTAATTATAGCGCTAAATGGGTGGGTTTCCCGCGTTTGTCATTCAACTTCTGCAGACATCTCTTGATTAATTGTGCGGGAGCCAGTAGATAGTAGACCACTAGATTAGTCGTTGGCTACTACTAGTAGTAACGGTGTAAGTAGGTGTGGCTTGAGTATCGCGTATACTCCCGCCAGTCAGTTAATTTGGCTGAATAGCTAGCTAGCTAGCTAGTTATCTAACTACCTGCCTCGTACTCCGTTAGCTTCAAACTCCCAGTCCCTTCTCCTATCATCAATTACGATCGGGACGCGGATACGAAGAAAATCACTCATAGTTAGTAGATCAGTAGACTGACTCTCTCGCCTAAAAGGAGGGGTTGATGACACAAAGTGAAACCAGAACCCCATGGATTTAATTTACTCAATGCCATCATCTCAGATACCCGATGACCCCTACTTTGCTGTTTGTACTGTATCTGTTGCACTGGCCAGTCGCACCAACCACTTACTAGATCAGGCAGGATACTATCTACGTACTGATATGCGTGGGATAGATCCACAACATGCTCTCTCCCCGCTCTGTATTGTGTATACCTCCATAGTAAGTAGATACTCCGTAGATAGTTGATGCTAGAATGGTTGCCTGTCAGCCTGAGGCGACCAGTCTCGCCGCCCGGCGGAATCTCCACGTGATAGCACCGGTCCAACAACGCAACCTCCATCTGTCTGGCCATCGCCGCAACGACGGGAAAAGATGGTTCTGGAACTTCATATTTGGGGTCCGGCGTTTTCATTGCCGTCTATCGATGCGCAATGTCTCGCCGCAATCACGTATCTGTCCCTGACGGTGCCCAAGGACGCCTGGGTACTCGTCGCAAGCAGTGATCCTTCTGTGTCGCCGACTTGTATGTTTGTCTGAGTGGTTTATTCTCCGAATACTAGTTTCTGGAGGGCCCCTGCTCTACGCTCGTGGGCTTCATGACGCATTGACTAACATTATACTTTTTGCAGGCGAACTACCAGCCCTCAGAAATGGCTCAACATGGGTAAGCCGGTTCCGCAATATCGTCGATTACCTCCGTCAGTATTCGAACGGCGACTGGGACCTGGATCAGGGCCTCAGTGGGATCGAAAAAGCAGATAACACTGCGTATGCTTTCCCATACCCCAGTATCTTGATATAATATGTTCGGGAGAAGAGGCAGATTCTAACCGGTCATCAACAGCTTCTCCGCCTTCCTTGAATCCCGCGCTCAATCCCTCCTCGACCTCTCCCTCTACGTCACCAGCCAAAACTACTACAACTGCACCTCCCCCTCCTACGGCGCCATCCTCCAATGGCCCAACCAATGGATTCTCCCTCCGAAACTCCACAGCGCCGCCAAAACCCGCACCGAACATCTCGGCCTCTCCTCCCTGGACATACAAGCCATCGAAGACCAACGGAAACGTGACCACTCCGCCGCCGTCGCAGCAGGCCAGATCCCCAAGAACCTCATTCCGCAGCCACGCGACACTGTTTCATCCCTACTCGGCAAGACGGCGCAGCAG